ATATAAAACATTCTAAAATATACATATTCTAATATACATATATACATTAATAAATACACATATGTGTATTAGAATATATACATCACATATTCACATATATATGTGTACATATAATATATATAACAACATTCTAATATATACATATTCTAATATACATATATATATATATACACATTAACTGGGGGTGGTGACGGCCGACAGGGAGCTCTGGCGTGGGCTGGTCCATGAGGTCACGAAGAGTCGGAGACGACTGAACGAATGAACAACAACAAATACACATTAATATATACATATGTGTATTAGAATATATCCATCACATATTCACATATATATGTTTATTTAATATATATATATATAAACATTCTAAAATATACACAATCTATATACATATATATATATATACATTAATAAATACATATGTATATGTGATTATATACATCATATATTCATATATGTGTGTGCATATGTAATACATATATAACTTACATATATATATATACATTAATATACACATTCGTATTAGAATATATACATCACATATTCCTATATATCACTTTAGAATATATATATACACATATATTTATGTGTTAGCATGTAACACACACACATAAAACACATGTTAATATATATATATATATATATATATATATATATACATATATATGTATTAGAATATATATATCACATATTCAAATATATATACACATTTTCATATGTTACTTACTTACTTACTTAGGCGATCCCTCGTTGGACGAGTAAGATGGTCTTCCATTATGGATTTCCTTGTGGGTCCGTATGTGGCTGTGGGGCCCTATTCTTGACCTGCATCTTCTTCCGCAGTGAGGGCATTGGTTTCCAGGTGGAAGGTGGTCCCGGTCGGGGTTGGCTTGACGCGCCTTCCTCCTGGCACGTTTCTCTCTTTCACCCTCCACTCGCGCCTCCTCGAATTCTGCAGCACTGCTGGTCACAGCTGTCCTCCAGCTGGAGCGCTCAAGGGCAAGGGCTTCCCAGTTCTCAGTGTCTATGCCAGAGTTTTTAAGGTTGGCTTTGAGCCCATCTTTAAATCTCTTTTCCTGTCCACCAACATTCCGTTTTCCGTTCTTAAGTTCGGAGTAGAGCAACTGCTTTGGGAGACGGTGGTCAGGCATCCGGACAACGTGGCCGGCCCAGCGGAGTTGATGTTGGAGGACCATCGCTTCAATGCTGGTGGTCTTTGCTTCTTCCAGCACACTGACGTTTGTCCGCTTGTCTTCCCAGGAGATTTGCAGGATTTTTCGGAGGCAGCGCTGATGGAAACGTTCCAGGAGCTGCATGTGACGTCTGTAGACAGTCCACGTCTCACAGGCATAGAGCAGGGTTGGGAGGACAATGCTTTATAAACAAGCACCTTGGTATCCCTACAGATTTCCTGGTCCTCAAACACTCTCTGATCCATTCGGAAGAACTTTGCACTCGCAGAGCTTAGGCAGTGTTGTATTTCAGTGTCAATGTTGACTTTTGTTGAGAGGTGGCTGCCAAGGTAGTGGAAATGATCAACATTTTCTAATGTTACACCATTAAGCTGTATCACTGGCATTGGAGAGGGGTTGGCTGGTGCCTGCTGGAAAAGCACCTTGGTTTTTTCAATGTTCAATGACAGGCCGAGCTTCTCGTATGCTTCTGCGAAGGTGTTTAGAGTGGCTTGTAGATCTTCTTCTGAATGCGCACAGACGACATTGTCATCAGCATACTGGAGTTCTATAACAGCTGTTGTTGCAACCTTGGTTTTGGCTTTCAGTCTGCTGAGGTTGAATAGCTTGCCATCTGTCCGATAGATGATTTCCACTCCGGTGGGAAGCTTCCCATCAACAAGGTGAAGTATCATAGCGATGAAGATGGAGAATAGAGTTGGGGCAATAACACATCCCTGTTTGACACCCGATTCCACCTTAAATGGGTCACTTTGGGAGCCACTGCTGTCCAAGACTGTTGCCATCATGTCATCATGGAGGAGCCGCAGGATGTTCACAAATTTGTTAGGGCACCCGATTTTTTGGAGGATGGTCCAGAGAGCGCTGCGATTCACTGTGTCGAATGCCTTTGCAAGGTCAATGAATGCCATGTACAGAGGTTTTTTGTTCCCTGCATTTTTCTTGGAGCTGTCGTGCAGTGAAGATCATGTCCACTGTTCCTCTGGAGGGGCGGAAGCCATTCGGGATTCTGGGAGGGTGTCTTCTGAGAGGGGCAGAAGGCGGTTTGCAAGGATTCTTGCGAGGATTTTCCCAGCGAGGTTAGAAGGGAGATACCTCGATAGTTTCCGCAGTCTGTTCTTTCTCCTTTTTTGAAGAGGGTGATGATGGTGGCGTCCTTGAAATCTGCTGGGATTTTCTCGGTCACCCACACTTTTTCTATGAGCTGGTGGAGTTGGTGTGTCAGCTCAGGTCCTCCCTCTTTAAAGATTTCAGCAGGGATCCCATCCGGTCCACTGGCTTTGTTATTCTTCTGTTGGCTGATGGCATTGCTGACTTCTTCCAAACTGGGCAGTGCTGCAAGCTCATCCCTGGTTTGTTGTTGCGGGATTTGTGAGAGGACCTCTTCGGCGACATTGGAGCTGCGGTTCAGGAGGCTTTGGTAGTGTTCTTTCCAACGTAGTGCAATTGAGTTTTGGTCCTTCAGGAGTTTGGTTCCATCTGATGAGTGTAGAGGCTGTATGCCATGGTTTCTTGGTCCATAGATGACCTTTGTGGCTTTGAAAAATCCCTGAGCATTATGGGTATCTGCCAGGTGTTGGATTTCTTCGGCCTTCTTTGTCCACCAGATGTTCTTGAGTTCTCTTGTCCTTCTTTGGACCTCAGCTTTTGCACTGGCGTAGATCTTTTTCTTAGCAGCACAGTTGATGTCTCTCTGCCATGTTTGGAAGGCTTTCCTTTTCTTGTCAATTAGCTGTTGGATCTCGTTGTCATTTTCATCAAACCAATCTTGATGTTTCTTGGTTTGGTATCCAATAGTTTCTTCGCAGGCTTGGATGATGGAGGTCTTCAGTTTGTTCCAATGTTCCTCAACATTTTCGGGGTGTATTGTGGGTAGATGGTTCTTGAGTGCTGTTTGGAGATGGGCTCGTCTGGAGGGCTCCTGAAGGGCTTGGGTGTTCATTTTGCGCCTTGTCTTCCTTCCTTGGAGTCTGCGCTTGGGGGCAATCTTGAGAGCCATCGAGGATCGAATTAGCCTGTGGTCAGTCCAGCAGTCATCAGCACCCGTCATGGCTCTTGTGAGGAGCACGTCACGGCGGTCTCTGGCGCGTGTGATTACATAGTCTAAGAGGTGCCAATGCTTTGACCGGGGGTGCTTCCATGTCTTGAACTTGTTTTTCTGGTGGAAGAACGTGTTGGTGATGACAAGGTTGTGCTCCGCACATTTGGTGAGAAGCAGGATGCCATTTGAGTTGCTGTTTCCAACCCCGTCTTTTCCGATGGTTCCTGGCCACAGGTCGAAGTCTCGCCCGACTCTTGCATTGAAGTCCCCCAGGAGGATGATTTTGTCCTCCTTAGGTATCCCCGATAGGACGGTGTCCAGCTGACAGTAGAATTTCTCCTTGATGTCTTCGTCAGCATCTAGTGTTGGTGCATAGGCACTTACGATGGTTGCCCGTTGGTTTTTGGCAAGATCGATTCGGAGGGTTGAGAGTCGTTCGTTGATGCCAGTGGGTGCTTCGGACAGATGTTTCATCAGATCATTTCTGATGGCGAAGCCAACTCCGTGCATTCTTTGGTCTTTTCGGGCAGTCCCTTCCAGAAGAAGGTGTAGCCTCCTTTTTCTTCCTTCAGCTGTCCCTCTCCTGCTCTCCGGGTCTCCTGAAGGGCTGCTATGTCAATGGTGAAGCGTCCCAGCTCCCTTGCAATGATGGCAGTTCTGCGTTCGGGGCATTCACTGCCACTGTTGTCCATCAGAGTCCGTACGTTCCACGTACCGAAGTTCATTTTCCTTTTTTGGCCGCAGGGTGGTGACCCCACTGGACGCGGCAGTCCAGTCAGGGATAAGTGAGGCAGACTATGTTTAGGGCACCTTTTCTAGCCCCCTCCCCGTGTGGGGTGAGCAGAGTGGGTCCTAAAAAGGGCTGCTCAGTCGCGGATGCAGCTGCCGAACTACTCAACTGCCTCGGACCTTGAGGTAGAACGACTGAGTCCGTACCCACCGCCCATGTGCCAGTCTGTGACTAGGGCTTCCAGATTTCACAGTCCTGCCCCCGTCGCCACTCGCTGATCGCCATGGGACTTTGGTTGGTTGTTTTTATTTTCTTTGGAAGACGCCTGTGCGTGGGTTTTTTTAATGTGTGGAGGTCAGTGCACAACTGATCAACACACAGACTTCACAGAGTGAGGTTCCACTGGTGATGTAGTTTAACACAATGACCGTGGCTTCTCAGTCTGTTGCAGCCTTCTTCCGCCTGCGCAGCCGTTGTAACATGCGCCATGTTATCCTCCGCCTGCTCCGCCGTTGAGGTCTTTGGGTCTTCGGACTGTGCTTGGTCTGGGACCTCCCCTGCGGCCACTCCTGGGAGTGCACGACTCCAGTTGTTGTGCCCACAGGTTCATCGGAACGCGCAAGCCCCCTCACCACGACAAGGTGACAGGCCATCGAGGGGGATTTTCATATGTACACAAACATTAATATATATATGTGTGTGTGTATATATATATTCTGCCATATACATATGTGTGTGTTTTGTTGTGTTGTTGTGTGCCCCTCCCTTCCTCCCTTGCCTGCCTCCTATTAAGACATGCGCCACTGGCTTTCGAAAGGGGAAGCCTAGCCTTGGCCAAAAAGGCCGCGCGGGGAGAGACGGGAGTCGTAGTCTCTGAGGATGGGCCACCCATTGGCTCACAGCGGCGGGCGGACTCCATTTCCCGGCGCGCCACGCGAGAGAAAGCCTGTTTCAGGCTAGGCCGTGCCGCGCTGCACGCCGGGAGACGTAGTCCCTTCAAGCCCCGCCTGGCTACCCGCGGCCATTTTGTGGAGCGGGGAAAAAGAACTCGGATTCCCGGCGTGCTCCGCGCGCGGCGAGGCTGCTGGTCAGGCTGAGGAGAGAGGGAGGGTGTTTTCTGAGGCGGACCAAGATGGCGGCGGCGGGGGGCTCCGGGTCCGCCGCTGCCGCTTCTCCTTCTCCCTCGGCGCCTTCTCCTTCCCCGTCCTCCTCGGGCTCCATGGCGGCCAACGCGGCCTCGTCCTCGTCGAACCCCCGCAAGTTCAGCGAGAAGATCGCGCTCCAGAAGCAGCGGCAGGCCGAGGAGACGGCGGCCTTCGAGGAGGTGATGATGGAGCTGGGCACCACACGGGTAAGACAGCCAGCCCTTCCAGCCAAGGCGCCCATCCGCCCCCCGCGGGCGCCAAAACACTCTGAGGGGCCCACTTCCGGTGAGGGGCCCTTATATAGCGGGGGCGGGGACATCCGGGTTGGAGGCGGCCAATAGGGCGGCGGGAAGGAGCGGGACGGCCGGCGCTGATTGGTCCGGACGGCGAATGGGAAAGAGGAGAGTGCGCCTCCCGCGCTTGGCCGAAAGGGGGCTTCGCTCCACAAGCACGCAAGGCTGGCAGGAGTCAACACGGCCCAGGCAGGAAGCAGGCAGGCTTTGAAGCTGCAAGGCCGTTCAGTAAGTAAATAAAGAGCAACACTAAAAAAAAAACAGGCAGGAAACAATCAGGGCCAGCTAACACCTCACAACAAAGGGTTTCCCCAGGCAGGAAGCAGGCAGGCTTTGAAGCTGCAAGGCCATTCAATAAGTAAATAAAGAGCAACACTAAAAAAAAAACAAGCAGGGGAATTCCAGTCAGGAAACAATCAGGGCCAGCTAACACATTCAAAGAAAGGATTCCCCCCTCCCAGGCAGGAAGCAGCCAGGCTTTGAAGCTGCAAGGCCGTTCAAGAAGTAAATAAAGAGCAACACTAAAAAGAAAAGCAGGGGAATTGCAGGCAGGAAACAATCAGGGCCAGCTAACACCTCCCAACAAAGGGTTTCCCCAGGCAGGAAGCAGGCAGGCTTTGAAGCTGCAAGGCCATTCAATAAGTAAATAAAGAGCAACACTCAAAAAAAAAAGAAAGCAGGGGAATTCCAGTCAGGGAACAATCAGGGCCAGCTAACACATTCAAAGAAAGGATTCCCCCCCCCTCCCAGGCAGGAAGCAGGCAGGCTTTGAAGCTGCAAGGCTGTTCAATAAGTAAATAAAGAGCAGCACTAAAAAGAAAAACAGGGCCAGCTAACACCTCCCAACAAAGGATTCCCCCTCCCAGGCAGGAAGCAGGCAGGCTTTGAAGCTGCAAGGCCGTTCAATAAATAAATAAAGAGCAACACTAAAAAGAAAACAGCAGGGGAATTCCAGGCAGGAAACAATCAGGGCCAGCTAACACATTCAAAGAAAGGATTCCCCCTCCCAGGCAGGAAGCAGGCAGGCTTTGAAGCTGCAAGGCCATTCAATAAGTAAATAAAGAGCAACACTAAAAAAAAAACAAGCAGGGGAATTCCAGTCAGGAAACAATCAGGGCCAGCTAACACATTCAAACAACAAAGGGTTTCCCCAGGCAGGAAGCAGGCAGGCTTTGAGGCTGCAAGGCCATTCAATAAGTAAATAAAGAGCAACACTAAAAAAAAAACAAGCAGGGGAATTCCAGTCAGGAAACAATCAGGGCCAGCTAACACATTCAAAGAAAGGATTCCCCCTCCCAGGCAGGAAGCAGCCAGGCTTTGAAGCTGCAAGGCCGTTCAATAAGTAAATAAAGAGCAACACTAAAAAAAAACAAGCAGGGGAATTCCAGTCAGGAAAGAATCAGGGCCAGCTAACACCTCCCAACAAAGGGTTTCCCCAGGCAGGAAGCAAGCAGGCTTTGAAGCTGCAAGGACATTCAATGCTAATCAAGGCCAGACAGCCCGGAAACGGAGATTTCCGGGCTGTCTCCTTAATTAGCATTGAACGGCCTTGCACCTTCAAAGCCTGGCTGCTTACTGCCTGGGAGGCGGAATCCTTTGTTTGAATGTGTTAGCTGGCCCTGATTGTTTCCTACCTGGAATTCCCCTGCTATATATATATATTTTTAGTGTTGCTCTTTATTTACTTCTGGTCTTGATTAGCTTTGAATGGCTTTTGCAGCTTCAAAGTCTGGCTGCTTCCTGCCTGGGAGGGGGGCATCCTTTGTTTGGAGGCGTTAGCTGGCCCTGATTGTTGCTCTTTATTTACTTCTGGTCTTGATTAGCATTGAATGGCCTTGCATCTTCAAAGTCTGCCTGCTTCCTGCTTGGGGGGGGGATCCTTTGTTTGGAGGTGTTAGCTGGCCCTGATTGTTTCTTGCCTGGAATTCCCCTGCTATATTTTCTTTTTGAGTGTTGCTCTTTATTTACTTCTGGTCTTCATTAGCATTGAATGGTCTCACAGCTTCAAAGCCTGGCTGCTTCCTGCTTGGTAGGGGGAATCCCTTGTTTGGAGGTGTTAGCTGGCCCTGATTGTTGCTCTTTATTTAGTTCTGGTCTTGATTAGCATTGAATGGTTTTTGCAGTTTCAAAGCCTGTCTGCTTCCTGCCTGGGGGAGGAACCCTTTGTTTGGAGGCGTTAGCTGGCCCTGATTGTTGCTCTTTATTTACTTCTGATCTTGATTAGCATTGAATGGGCTTTGCAGCTTCAGAGCCTGGCTGCTTCCTGCCTGGGGGGAGGAGAATCCATTGTTTGGATGTGTTAGCTGGCCCTGATTGTTTTCCCTGCTTTTTTTTCTTTTTGAGTGTTGCTCTTTATTTACTTCTGATCTCGATTAGCTTTGAATGGCCTTGCAGCTTCAAAGCCTGGCTGCTTGCTGCCTGTTTGGAGGTGTTAGCTGGCCCTGATTGTTTCCTGTTTGGAATTCACCTTCTTTTTTGAGTGCTGCTCTTTGTTTACTGTCCTGATTTTAGAGGGTTTTTTAAATACTGGTAGGCAGATTGTGTTCATTTTCATGCCAGGCTTTGAAGCTGCAAGACCATTTAATGCTCATCAAGGTGACCAATGGCAACATTCACACTTGCCTCCAACAGGCAAGAGTTCTTTCTTTCTTCCACTTTGGACATCATTCCACAGGGATATACACACACAGTCCGCTTGCCTAATTTTCAACAGACTTCTATGCAGATGCCCTCACTGATTGACTTTGTGGTTATAATAATATAATAATAAATAGCAAAGGGGTCCTTAAGGCAGGTCGGGATTGATTAGGTTGTTTATTTAATAGTATTATTATTATTAATAATATACAGATATGATAATGTGGTTCTTATAATAAATAGCATTAAATACTTTATTTAATAATATAAACAGTAATAATAATAACTACACTAATAATGTGGTTATAATAATATCATAATAAATAGCATTAAATAGTTTATTTAATTATATAAATAGTAGTAATAATAATACACTAATAATGTGGTTATAATAATATAATAATAAATAGCAAAGGGGTCCTTAAGGCAGGCCGGGTTTGATCAGATTGTTTATTTAATAGTATTACTATTTATATTAATATTAATATACAAATATTATGATAATGTGGTTCTTATAATAAATAGCATTAGTTTATTTAATTATATAAACAGTAATAATAATAATAATATACGAATAATGTGGTTATAATAATATTATAGTAAATAGCATTAAATAGTTTATTTAATAATATAAATAGTAATAATAATATATGAATAATGTGGTTATAATAATATCATCATAAATAGCAAAGGGATCCTTAAGTCAGGCTGCGATTGAATAGTTTGTTTATTTAACAACAACAATAATAATAATGAGAGACCCCCAAAGAATTGTGGAGGAGGCCCGGCTCACGTGGGGTGGGGCAGGCTCCTCCTTGGCTGACCCTTGACCCCTGTGGACCCCTGTGGACCCTTTCTGTGTCCAGTTGCAGGCCCAGAAGCTGCGCTTGGCCCACGGCCGCGGGCCCTACTGCTACGGCGGATCCCTGCCCAACGTCAACCAGATCGGGAGCGGCGCCCCCGAGTTCCAGGTAAGGCCATGGACACCCCGTGGAACTACAATTCCCAGGGACATATGGGTCTGTTTTGAATGGTATGGTGATGCTTGTATGTCAAGACACCGTTGAGTCTCCCGCGGGAAAGATGACGCGGGTATCAATAAATGTAATAGTGATAATAATTATTTTTTTTATATATATATATATATATATATATATATATATATATATAATGATAGTTGAGGTGTATCTCTATAAGGAGGGAGGAAGAAGGAAGATGAGAAAGACAGAAGGAAGCAAGGAAGGAGAGAACGAAGAAAAGAGAGAGAAGGAAAGGAGGGAGGGAGGAGGAAAAGAAGGAGAAGGAAGCAAGGAGAGGAAGAAAGAAGGAGGAAAGACAGAAGGAGGAAGGAAGAAGAAAGGAAAGAAAGGGAGAAAGGAAGCAAGGGAGGAAGATGGAAGGAGGGAAAGACAGAAGGAAGACAAGGAATCAAGGGAGGAAGGAGAGAAGGAAGGAGAGAGTGAAGCAAGGGAGGGAGGGAGGAGAGAAGGAAAGAGGGAGAAAAGGAAGGTGGGAAAGACCGAAAGAGGAAAGGAAGCAAGAAAGGAAGGAAAAAAGGAGAGAACAAAGAAAAGGGAGAGGAGGGAGGGAGGAGGGAAAAAAGGAAAGGAAGCAAGGGGGGAGGAAAGAAGGTGGGAAAGACAGAAGGAGGGAAGGAAGCAAGAAAGGAAGGAGAAAACAAAGAAAAGAAGGGAAAGAAGAAAGGGAGGAAGGAGAGAAGGAAGCAAGAAAAGAAGGAGATAACAAAGAGAAGGGAGAGAAGGAAGCAAGAGAGGAAGGAAGAAGAGAAGGACAAAAAGAAGGCGAGAAAGGAGGAAGAAGGAAGGAGAGAAAGATGGAGGGAAGGAAGCAAGGAGAGAAGGAAGCAAGAAAGGAAGGTGAGAAGGAAGAAAAAAGGACAAGACGGAAGGAGTGAAAGTAGGAGAGAAGGAAGCAAGAGAGGAAGAAGGAGGGAGGGAGAGAAGGAAGAAGGAGAGAAGCAAGGGAGGAAGAAGGGAGGAGAGAAAGACAGAATGAGAGAAGGAAGAAAAAAAGGAGAAAAGGAAGAAGGAGGAGAGGAAGGAGAGAAGAAGAAAAAAGGAAGAGAAGGAAAGTAGGAGAGAAGGAAGCAAGGGAGGAAGAAGGAGGGAGGGAGAGAAGGAAGAAGGAGAGAAGCAAGAGAGGAAGAAGGAAGGAGAGAAAGACAGAATGAGAGAAGGAAGAAAAAAAGGAGAAAAGGAAGCAAGGGAGGAAGAAGGAAGGAGGGAAAGAGAAGGAGGGAAGGAAGCAAGAGAGGAAGGAGAGAACGAAGAAAGGGAGAGAAGGAAGCAAGGGAGGAGGAAGGAAGGAAAGAAGGAGAGAAGGAAGAAAAAAGGAGAAAGAGGAGGAAGCAAAGGAGGAAGGTCAGAAGGAAGCAAGGGAGGAAGGGAGAGAGATAGAAGGAGAAAAGGAAGGAGAAGGGAAGAAAGGCAGGTGAAAGAGAGGGAAGGAGGAGTGGAGGAATGGGGAAAGAAAGAGAGAGAGGAGGAAAAGAGTGAGAAAGGGAAGAAAGAAAGGCAGGGAAGAGAGAGAGGGAAGGGATTCAGGAAGTGTGTTGCAGTGGTTTGAACCTGGGAGCGTGTCTCTGGACCCACTGGGTGTCTTTGGGAGGGGGTCTCACTCTCAACCCCCCCCCCCCCGGAATCACTCTTGAAGTAATTTGACCCCCCCCCTCCCCTTGTGTCTCTTCTTCTTGGCAGAGCCCCCTGCACTCGCCCTTGGACCCCATGCGTGGGGGCGCCCGGCACCACCGCCTGGTCAAGCAGGTCCAGCGTGACCCCCGGCGCATGATGTCCCCGCTGCGCCGCTACATGCGCCAGATATCCTTTGCCCCTTTTTGCGCCCCCCCCCCTCGCTCTCTCCTCCATCCCTCATTTGCTCCGGGGATTAAAGCACATTAGCGGAAACCCATCTGCGGAGGAGGAGGAGGTCCGCTTGCCCCCTCCAAACTACGTCTTCCTTAACCCTTGGCTCACATCGACAGCTCTCCCTACAGCCCCGCCTATCTCTCGCCCCCCGCAGAGCCCACCTGGAGGAGGTACACAAACCAAAACGTGGCTTTTGCTTATTCGTTCGCTTGCATTCGACCTTCAAAAACAGCTGGAATATTTCCAAAAAATTATATTGTTATTTTAAAATTATTATTATTATTATTAATAATAATAATTATTATTTATTATTATTAATAATAATAATAAAGTCCCCCAAATAGTGTTTTTATTATGAATACAACGAGATAAATAACATATTATTTTTATTACTCATCCCCAACACGCTGGAATATTTCAAAAATACATATATTATTATTTTTGAAATTATTATTATTAATAATAATAATAAATAAAGTCCCCCCAAATAGTGTTGTTATTATGAATAGAATGAAATAAATAACATATTATTTTTATTACTCATCCCCAACACACTGGAATATTTCAAAAATACATATATTATTATTTTAAAATTATTACTATTAATCATAATAAATAAAGTCCCCCAAATAGTATTTTAATAGTATATGAATAGAATGAAATAAATAACATTTTTATTACTCATCCCCAACACGCTGGAATATTTCAAAAATATACATATTATTATTTTAAAAATTATTATTATTAATCACAATAAATAAAGTCCCCCAAATAGTGTTTTTATTTTGAATAGAATGAAATAAATAAAGTATAATTTTTATTAGCCATCCCCAACACGCTGAAATATTTCAAAAATATATATGATTATTTTAAAATTATTATTATTAGTCATAATAAATAAAGTCCCCCAAATAGTATTTTAATAGTACATGAATAGAATGAAATAAATAACATTATTATTATTACTCATCCCCTCCAAATAATGTTTTTTATTAATAATAAAATAATGATTAATAATAAAACAATTAATAATAATAAATAAAATAAAATAGAAATACTATTTTTAATATTAATGAAATTAATAAAATAATAAAATAGGATTCAAAAATAGTGTTTTTTATTATTAATAAAATAAAGTCCCCAAATAAGTATTTTTATTTTGAATAGAATGAAATAAATAACATATTATTTTATTATTAATCCACTCCAAATAATATTTTTATTATTATTAGTAAAATCATAATAATTCATAAAATGAAATAGAAATCCTATTTTTAATATTAGTGAAATTTATAAAATAATAAAATGATATTCAGAAATAGTGTTTTTTATTATTAATAAAATAAAGTCCCCCAAATAATACTTTTATTATGAATACAATGAAATAAATTACTATTTTTATTATTAACTCCCTCCAAATAATAATGTTTTATTATTAATAATAACATAATGATTAATAATAAAATAATTAATAATAATTAACAAAATGAAATAGAAATCCTATTTTAAATATTAATGAAAATGAAATAATAAAATGGGATTCAAAAAAATAAAGTCTCACAAATAGTATTTTTATTATGAAAAAAGGTAATAAATTAAATATTATTTTATATTACTAATATAAGGGGGTGACAAAAGGGGTGACAAAAGGAGTTCTATGGGATACTATGAAAGCAGTGACCAGAGGGTTATGTATAAAAGAGACAATTAACTTAAAGAGAAGGCAAGAAGAAAGGAAAAGGAATTTAGAAAGAGAAATAGAAGAGATTGAAAAAGCATATGTAATAAAGAGAGATACACGAATTTATGCTAGGTTAAGAGCAAAAAAAGAGGAATTGGATAAAATGGAAATAGATGAAGTACAAGAAAATTTAATTTATTTAAGGAGGGAATATTTTGAGTTTAGTGATAGGAATTCAAAGATGCTAGCCAAATCAACACAAAAAAAGAAAATGGAAGGAATGATAAATATGATAAAAGATAAAACAGGTAAATTATGTAGAGCTATGAAAGAAAAATTGAAAGTATTTGAGGAATTTTATAAAGACCTATATCAAACTAAAGCAAGCCCCATAGAGGCAATTAGGAAATATGTGGAAGAAAATTGGGAGAGTAAGCTGGAGGAGAAAGATAAAGAGTTATTGGAACAACCTATTAAGAAAAAAGAAATAGAGGAAGTCATTAATAAATTAAAAGTAGGAAAAGCCCCAGGCTTGGATGGTTTAGGGACGGAATATTATAAAAGCTTTAGAGAAGTTTTAACCCCAAAATTATTGGAATTATATAACGGAATAATGAAGGGAGATAAAATACCTGACTCATGGAGGAGATCATTAATAATATTAATACCCAAACCTGACAAAGACTTAACAGACCCAGGGTCATATAGGCCCATATCATTAATAAATCAGGACGCAAAGATATTATCTGCGATAGTAGCTAATAGAATGAATAAATGTATGTATAAGTATATAAAAGAAGACCAGTGTGGGTTTATAAAAGGAAGACAAATGTCAAACTTGATAGGGAGAGTACTAAATAAAATTCATTGGGCCAAAGAAGGGAAGGGAAAGGCAGGGATATTATCATTAGATATTTTTAAAGCGTTCGATTGTGTGGAATGGGAGACATTAAGGGAAATATTGAATAAATTTGGAATGGGAAATAAAATAAAAGGAGTACTAAAACAATTTTATTCAAAGAATTCAGCAGTAATAACTATAAATGATGGAGTGACAAACGAAATACAAGTGACTAGAGGAACTAGACAAGGGTGCCCTTTGTCCCCGATATTATTTGCTATGGTGATAGAACTTTTTGCTAATAATATAAGGAATGATAAAAACTTAGAGGGATTAGGAAAAAAGGAGAAACAGAAGGTGAGCTTATTTGCTGACGATACATTGTTATTTATAGAAAATATAGTGGAGAAAATAGATAGAATAAAAGAACATTTGGAGACATTTGGGAAAGCAACGGGTTTACAAGTTAATTGGAACAAGTCAGAAATGATGCTACTCAACTATACAAGAGAAGAAGAAAAAAAAATCATAAAAAAATAGTGTTTTTTTAAAGTTTCCCAAAATAGTATTTTTATTATGTATAGAATGAAATAAATAAAATATTATTTTTATTACTCATTCCCTCCAAATAATAATGTTTTATTATTATTAATAAAATAATAATAAAACAGTAACATATAATAATACAAAGTCCCACAAATAGTATTTTTTATTTTGAATAGAATGAAATAAATAAAATACTATTTTTTATTATTAACTCTCTCCAACTAATAATGTTTTATTAATAATAATAAAATAAGGATTAATAATTATTAATAATTAATAGAATAAAATAGAAATCCAATTTTTAATATCAATGAAATTAATACAATAATAAGATGGGATTCAAAAAGAGTATTTTTAATGAATAATTACATGAAATAAAATAGGTATTTTTTGATATTGATAAAATGCAATCCAAAAGATTTATGGTTCTCAAGTGACCTTTCCCCTTTTGTGTTTTGTGTCCAGGGCCGGGCCGTGGGGCAGCTTCCCTGCCGAGAAGGGACACCTCTTCCGCCTGCCCTCGGCGCTCAACAGGTGAGCCGTTGCGCACTCTTTGCGCGAGGGACACTCCCCTCCCTCCCTCCCTTCCTTCCTTCCTTCCTTCCTTCCTTCCTTCCTTCCTTCCTTCCTTCCTTCCTTCCCTTGGCGTTTGGGGGCATTATTCCGTGGCCAAGGGGTTGGAGGTCTTCTTTGTGGTGTTGCAAATGTATAGTTTGGAATATATATTATTGTTATTGTTAATTATTATTATTATTATATATTATAATCTTATATATATATATATATAACTATATGTAATACTATATATTATATTATATATTATTATTTAGTAGAAGTAGTAATTATTACTCTGCTTCTAGGGCAGTTCTTGTGACCCTTGGAGTCGCAAATGTATACAGTTTGGAAAATATATTAATAATAATTATTATTATTATTATCATCATCTGCTTCTTGGGCAGTTTTTGTGGCCCTCGGTGCCACAAATGTATAACACCGAATTTTTTTAAATTATTATTATTATTATTATTATTAATAATAATAATAATAATTTTATATATTATATTTATTATAATTAAGTTGTAGTAGTAATTGAATTATTACTCTGCTTCTAGGGCAGTTTTTGTGACCCTTGGAGTCGCAAATGTATACAGTTTGGAAAATATATTAATAATAATAATAATAATAATAATAATAATCTGCTTCTTGGGCAGTTTTTGTGGCCCTTGGTGCCACAAATGTATAACACCGAATTTTTTTAAATTATTATTATTATTATTATTATTATTATTAATAATAATAATAATAATAATTTTATATATTATATTTATTATAATTAAGTTGTAGTAGTAATTGAATTATTACTCTGCTTCTAGGGCAGTTTTTGTGACCCTTGGAGTCGCAAATGTATACAGTTTGGAAAATATATTAATAATAATAATAATAATAATAATAATAATAATAATCTGCTTCTTGGGCAGTTTTTGTGGCCCTTGGTGCCACAAATGTATAACACCGAATTTTTTTAAATTATTATTATTATTATTATTATTATTATTAATAATAATAATAATAATAATTTTATATATTATATTTATTATAATTAAGTTGTAGTAGTAATTGAATTATTACTCTGCTTCTAGGGCAGTTTTTGTGACCCTTGGAGTCGCAAATGTATACAGTTTGGAAAATATATTAATAATAATAATAATAATAATAATAATAATTATCATCATCTGCTTCTAGGGCAGTTTTTGTGGCCCTCGGTGCCACAAATGTATAACACCAATTTTTTTAAATTATTATTATTATTATTATTATTAATAATAATAATAATAATTTTATATATTATATTTATTATAATTAAGTTGTAGTAGTAATTGAATTATTACTCTGCTTCTAGGGCAGTTTTTGTGACCCTTGGAGTTGCAGGTGTATAGTTTGGAAAAATATATTATTATTGCTATTATTATTATTATTATTATTATTAATAATAATAATAATAATAATAATAATAATAATAATAGCTTCTTGGGCAGTTTTTGTGGCTTGTGGGGTCACAAATGTGTATGCCTTTGGATGTTGTGATTCAGAGCTGAGACTCCTGGCGATCGCTTAGCTACCTCTCTTCTCTCCCTCCCCGTTTGGCCCCCAACCAGAACCAACTCGGACTCGGCCCTGCACACGAGCGTCATGAACCCCAACCCGCAGGACCCCTACCTGGCCGCCTCCCAGGGGGGGCCCCCGCTGCCCAACCGCAAGGCAGGTGAGTGACACCTTTGCCCCATGAGCCCTTCAAGGGGGAAACAGAGGGAGGAAGGGGGGCCCTGCTGACTTGGCTCTGGGTTTGTATCAGGCCGGGGTCCACTTGGGTCCTCCAGGAATTGGGGGGGTTGGAGTCCAAAACACCCAGAGGCCCCCAATGGGCGCTGTGAATGTTTTTTTCTGGACTGAGCGCTGTCTAGACACCTCTCCCCAACCATGATCCTTCCTCTTTAATTCTCTCTTTTTTTAAGGTTACCTGGAGAACGACATGGACAGCAAAGGTAACTTGGCATCTTGCTTTGGCATCGGCTTCCTTCCTTCCTCCCACCCTTCCTCTCTTCTTTTCTCTCTTCCTCCCTTCCTCCTTCTCTTCCTTCCTTCCTTCCTTTCTTCTTTCCTCTCTTCCTTCATTCCTCTCACTTCCTCCCTTCTTTCCTCTCTTCATCCCTTCTTCTCTTCCTTCCTTTCTCCCTTCCTTCTTCTATTCCTTTCTTCCTCCCTTCCTTCTTCTCTTCCTTTCTTCCTCCCTCTCTTCACCCCTTCTTCTCTTCGTTCCTTCCTTCCTCCCTCCCTCCCTTCTTCTATTCCTCCCTCTCTTCCTCCCTTCTTTCCTCCCTTCCTCCCTCCCTTCCTTCTTCTCTTCCTTTCTTCCTCCCTCCCTCCTTCTCTTCCTCCCTTCCTCCTTTCCTGTCTTCCTCCCTCAATTCCTCTCTTCCTTCTCTTTCTTTCTTCCTCCCTCCTTCTCTCCCTCTCTTCTTTCCTTTCTTCCTCCCTTCCTTCTTCTATTCCTTCCTCTCTTCCTCCCTTCCTTCCTTCTTTCCTCCCTCCCTCTCTTCTTTCCTCTATTTCTCCCTTCTTTCCTTCCTGCTTCTCTTTCTCCCTTCTTTCCTCTCTTCCTCCCTCCCTCCCTCCTTCTCTCCATCCCTTCTTTCCTCTCTTCCTTCTTCCTTTCTTCTTCCCTCCCTCCCTTCTTCTCTTCCTCTTCTTCCCCTGCTTCCTCCCTCTTCTCTTCATACCTCCCTTTCTTCTTCTCTCCCTCCCTCCTCCCATTCCCTCTCTTTCTCCCCCCCCCATGACCCCACCCTGGGGGCTCCCCCCCCCCCCGGCATGCCCTGACCCCCTTCCTCCTCTCTCTCTCTCTCTCTTCTCGGCAGTGTTTCTTTTCCAAGTGCCTTCCATCGAGGAGAGCTTCCTGGACGAAGGAGGCAAGCAGCTCCTCAAGCCCTGGGACACTAAAAAGGTAAGACCACAACTCACCTGGGGAGGGGAGGGGGCGGGGGCCGGCGTGGGAGGCGGGTCTCTTGGCGCCCCCCACTCACCCCTCCCTTCTCCCCTCTCCCCAGCTCTCCTCGTCTTCCGCTCGCCCGAGGTCCTGCGAGGTGCCCGGCATACAGTGAGTACCCGGAATTAGTAGTAGTATTATATGGTCGACTAAGGCTCCGTTCGTAGGATCCTCAAGTTGGAAGGGGCCTCCAAAGGCCATCTGGTCCAACCCCCTTCATTCCGCCTTCCTGCAGGGAAAGCACAATCAAAGCACCCCTGACAGATGGCCATCCAGCCTTAATAATAATCATAATCATAATAATCATAATAATAGAATTGGAAGGGACCTTTAATGACCATCAAGTCCAAGGACCTTCTGCCTTGATGCAGCACAAGCACAATCCAAGCGCCCCTGACAGATGGCCATCCAATCTTATTATTCTTATAAATAATAATATTAATAATAATAATATTTAGGTTGGAAGGGACCTCAAAAGACCATCAAGTCCAAGGACCTTCTGCCTTGATGCAGCATAAGCACAATCAAAGCGCCCCTGACAAATGGTCATCCATCATCAATAATAATAATAATAATAATAATAATGGAGTTGGAAGGGACCTTTAATGACCATCAAGTCCAATGACCTTCTGCCTTGATGCAGCATAAGCACAGTCAAAGCACCCCTGACAGATGGCCATCCACCCTCAGTAATAATAATAATAATAATAATCATAATTTTTGGAGGGAAGGCGAAGGGGCGTGTGTTGACCCTCGCTGCGTCCTCTCTGCCTGTGTGTGTGTGTCTGTCTGGCAGCATCTTCCCGTCGCCTGACCAGCCGGCTCCGCTGCCGCTGCTCCCGTCCCCGCTGAACACGGGGGGCTCCCTGCCGGACCTGACCAACCTGCACTTCCCGTCCCCGCTGCCCACCGCCCTGGACCCCGAGGAGCCGCCCTTCCCCAGCCTCAGCGGAGGCAGCAGCACCGGCAACCTGGCCAGCACCTTGACCAACCTGGGCATCAGCGGAGGCGGCGGCGGCGGCGGCGGCGGGATGGGCCTCGGACCCCCGTACGACCCCCCAGGTCAGCCGGCGCACCGGGTTGCAGCGGGCGGGGAGGAATAGGTGACCGGTCCAATTGCAGGTGGATGGAGGGTATTGGCATGAGATGGCCACCCAGCCTCTGTTTCGAAGCCTCCAAAGAAGGAGGCAGAGAGTTCCCCTGCTGAACAGCTATAGATGAGGTGGGAGGAAAGGGTGCATTTGGGGGACGGGGATGCTAAGAGCCGTGCATCACTTGGCACAACGAGCCATTCTCCAATTCAGGAAATGTCTGGATCTTATTGTTATGATGATGTGGATGATGGATTTCTCTACCGCTGCAATTCCTGCCACTTCAGAGGGGGGAGGAGTAGAGGAGTGGATCCTCTTCTGCAAAGAAGGCACGGCTCCGGCTGCCCTACAAGTCGGAGGGGGGCCCAAAAAAGGCCATCCAGTCCAACCCCCTCCCGCCATAATAGAGAGATTGGTAGATAATAGAGTCAGAGAACACTAGAAATGGAAGGGACCCCCAAAGGCCATCCAGTCCATCCAGAAATAGTTAGATAGACAGACTGACAGATATAAATGAATAATAGAACACTAGAATTGGAAGGGACCCCCAGAGGCCATCCAGTGCAATCCATAGATCACTCAGTAAGTAGGTAGAATCCTAGTTAGAAGGGAAGAGACCCCCAGGGACATCCAGCCCAACCCATAGCTATGTAGGTAGATAAATAAATAGATGGATGGATGAATCACAGAACCTTAGAATTGGGACCCCCAAAGGCCATCCAGTCCAATCCCTGGATGGATTAGATAGATTAGATAGATAATGGATGGATGGAAAGATAGCTTGGTAGCTAACTAGCTAAAAAGATAGATGGATGGATGGATGGATAGGCAGGCAAGGAGGCAAGCGGATGGAGGGGTGGGTGGGTGGATGGATGGGCAGATGGATGGGCAGATACAGGGATGGGTGAATAAATGGATGGATGGGCAGATAGAGGGATGGATGGATGGGCAGATAGAGGGATGGATGGATGGGCAGATAGAGGGATGGATGGATGGGCAGATAGAGGGATGGATGGATGGATAGATGGACGGGCAGATAGAGAGATGGATGGATGGATAGATGGACGGGCAGATAGAGGGATGGATGGATGGATGGGCAGATAGAGGGATGGATGGATGGATGGGCAGATAGAGGGAGGGATGGATGGATGGATGGGCAGATAGAGGGATGGATGGATGGGCAGATAGAGGGAGGGAGGGAAGGAGGGAGGGATAGATGGATGGGCAGATGGATGGAGGGATGGATGGGAGATAGAGGGATGGATGGATGGGAGATAGAGGGGTGGATGGATGGGTGGGCAGAGGGAGGGATGGATGGATGGATGGATGGATGGATGGATGGATGGATGGGGGGATGGGCAGATAGAGGGATGGGTGGGTGGATGGATGGATGGGTGGGTGGGTGGGTGGGTGGATAGATAGATAGATAGATAGATAGATAGATAGATAGATAGATAGATAGATAGAAGAACCATAGAATTGAGACCCTCATCAAGTCCAATCCCAGATTTCTGACCTTCCAAGGTCCTTCAAGGCCCTTTAGATGCTCCCAATGCCCTTCAAGATAGACCCTAGAACCGTAGAATAAGAAGGGACCCCCAAAGGCCACCCAGTCTCCCTCCTCAGACCTTTTCAAATCATCATCATGGGGGGGGGGGTGTGTGTGTGTTTGCGCTCATAGCTGTCCATTGTGGTCCTCCTCTTTTGTGTTGTTATTTACGTTTCCATGTTATTTTCTCTCCCTCCCTCCCCCTCCCCGTCTCCTCCCCCCGCAGGCCTGTGCCCGGCGCTGGGCGGCTCCCTGAGCAACCCCTGCCTGCAGTCCTCCCTGCTGGGCCGGCCCCTGCGGCCCCCCACCTCTGCCTCTTCCGCCTCCGCCTCTGCCGCGGGGGGCCCTTCCCTGGGCCCCTCTTCCTCTTCCTCGTCCTCCTCGCTGCAGGGCTCCCTGAGCAACCCCTCCTTGCGCTCCTCGCCCAGCGGGGGCTGCTCTTCCTCCTCCCCCTCCTCCTCCTCCTCGGCCTCCTCCTCGCTGCCCTCCTCCCTCAGCAGCCAGTCCTTCTCCTCCTCCTCCCTCAGCAACCCCTCGCTCTCTTCCTCCCTCAGCAACCCCTCGCTCCCCTCTTCTTCCTCTTCGCTCGGCAGCAACCCCTTACCCCCGCTGCCCCACCCCGGCCCGGACCCCAACGCTTCCTCTTCCACTTCCGCTTCCTCTTGCGCTTCCTCCCCGCGCCGCCGGGGCCCCCACCCGCCACTCAGCCCCCTGACCCTCCCTCTGAGCGCAGACGCCAGGAGGCAGCCGCCGCAGCCGCCACCGCCGCAGCACCAAAAACAGTTCTCGCCCACCATGTCTCCCACACTCTCCTCCATCACGCAGGTACGCACGAGGCAGAGGGAGGGGCGGACCCCAACGCAGACCCCTCCAACCGGGACCCTTCTCTCTCTCCCCCTTTTCTCTCTTTCCTTCTGGTTTTCCATCTCATTTCAACTCGGGTCAGGATCTCAACAGGACTCCCAATGTCCTTCAAGGCCACTTAGATGTTTCTCAATGTCCTTCAAGATCTCTGTTTATGATCCAAGCTCCCATTGGCTTCAACCAATGTCCGGACTGCCGCACCCATCAACCCCAGGCAGCAGTGGGTGATGGTGGTTGCAGTCCTTCAGTGAGTTAGCATGGTCACCTTAGCATGGCAAAGGCCATCCAAAGTCCTTCAAGGACCCTTGTGAACTTTCCAATGTCTTTCAAGATCTCTTTTTATGATCTGAGATCCCATCAGCCTTAGCTGAAGGCTGGACTACCACTCCCATCACCCCCAGGCAGCGGTAGGTGATGGTGGTTGAGGTCCTTCAATGAGTTAGCATGGTCACCTTAGCATGGGAAAGGCCGTCCAAAGTCCTTCAAGGACCCTTGTGTACTTTACAATGTCCTTCAAGATCTCTTTTTATGATATGAGTGCCCATCCGCCTTAGCTAAAGGCTGGACAGCCACTCCCATCAGCCCCAGGCAGCAGTGGGTGATGGTAGTTGCAGTCCTTCAATGCCTAGTGGGCATCAGGATAGCTTTAAGGCCTTCCAAGGTCCTTCAAGGCCCCTTAGATGCTCCCAATGCCCTTCAAGACCTCTGTTTATGATCCAAACTCCCATTGGCTTCAACCAATGTCCGGACTGCCACTCCCATCAGCCCCAGGCAGCGGTGGGTGATGGTGGTTGAGGTCCTTCAATGCCTGGAGGGTCACCTTAGCTTGGACCAGCATCAGGACAGATTTAAGGCCTTCCAGAGACCTTCAAGGCCCCATAATATGATTTCCAATGTCCTTCAAGATCTCTTTCTATGATCCAAGCTCCCATTGGCTTCAACCAATATCCGGACTGCTGCTCCCATCAGCCCCAGGCAGCAGTGGGTGATGGTGGTTGCCAGTCATTCAATGACTTAGCATGGTCACCTTAGCATGGGAAAGGCCATCCAAAGTCCTTCAAGGACCCTTGTGTACTTTCCAATTTCCTTCAAGATCTCTTTTTATGATCTGAGCACCCATCAGCCTTAGCTGAAGGCTGGACTGCCACTCCCATCAGCCCCAGGCAGTAGTGGGTGATGGTGGTTGAGGTCCTTCAATGCCTGGAGGGTCACCTTAGCATGGACCAGCATCAGGACAGCTTTAAGACCTTCCAAGGTCCTCCAAGGCCCCTTAGATTCTCCCAATGCCCTTCAAGATCTCTTTCTATCATCTAAGCTCCCATTAGCCCCAGGTAGCAGTGGGTGATGGTGGTTGCAGTCCTTCAATGACTTAGCGTGGTCACTTAGCATGGACCTCCATAGGGACAGCTTTATGCCTTGGGAAAGGCCATCCATAGTCCTTCAAGGCTCCTTAGATGCTTTCCAATGTCCTTCAAGATCTCTTTTTATGATCTGAGTGCCCATCAGCCTTAGCTAAAGGCTGGACTGCCACTCCCATCAGCCCCAGGCAGCGGTGGATGATGGTGGTTGAGGTCCTTCAATGCCTAGTGGACATCAGGATAGCTTTAAGGCCTACCAAGGTCCTTCAAGGCCCATTAGATGCTCCCAATGCCCTTCAAGATCTCTTTCTATAATCTAAGCTCCCATCAGCCCCAGGCAGCAGTGGGTGATGGTGGTTGCAGTCCTTCAATGCCTGGAGGGTCACCTTAGCGTGGACCGGCATCTGGACTGCTTTAAGACCTTTCAAGGTCCTTCAAGGCCCCTGTTATGCTTTCCAAGGTCCTTCAAGATCTCTTTTTCTGATCTGAGCTCCCATCAGCCTTAGCTAAAGGCTGGACTGCCACTCCCATCAGCCCCAGGCAGCGGTGGGTGATGGTGGTTGAGGTCGTTCAATGCCTGGAGGGTCACCTAAGCATAGACCAGCACCAAGACAGTTTTAAGATACTTTCCAATGTCCTTCAAGATCTCATTCCACGGTCCTTCAAGGCCCCTTAGATGCTTCCCAATGTCCTTCAAGGTCTCTTCCTATCATCTAAGCTCCCAACAGCCCCAGGCAGCAGTAGGTGATGGTGGTTGCAATCCCTCAATGCCTTAGCATGGTCACCTTAGCATGGACAGGTATATGAGGACAGCTTTAAGGCATTCCAAGGTCCTTCAAGGCCCCTTAGATGCTTTCCAGTGTCCTTCAAGATATCTGTTTATGATCCAAACGCCCATTGGCTTCAACCAGTGTCCGGACTGCCACTCCCATCAGCTCCAGGCAACAGTGGGTGATGGTGGTTACCGTCCTTCAATGCCTGGAGAGTCACCTTAGCATGGACCGGCATCTGGACTGCTTTAAGACCTTCCAAGGTCCTTCAAGGCTCCTGTTATGCTTTCCAAGGTCCTTCAAGATCTCTTTTTCTGGTCTGAGCGCCTATCAGCCTTAGCAAAAGGCTGGACTGCCACTCCCATCAGCCCCAGGCAGCAGTGTTTGATGGTGGTTGCAGTCCTTCAATGACCTAGCATGGTCATCTTAGCATGGACCGGCATCAGGACAGATTTAAGGCCTTCCAAGGTCCTTCAAGACCCCTTAGATGCTTCCCAATGTCCTTCAAGATCTCTTTTTATGACCCGAGCGCCCATCAGTGTTAGCTAAAAGCTGGACTGCCACTCCCATCAGCCCCAGGCAGCAGTGGATGATGGTGGTTGAGGTCCAATGCCTGGAGGGTCACCTTAGCATGGACCGGCATCAGGATAGCTTTAAGACCTTCCAATGTTCTTTAATGCCCCTTAGATACTTTCCAGTGTCCTTCAGATCTCATTCTATTATCTAAGCTCCCATCAGCCCCAGACAGCAGTGGGTGATGGTAGTTGCAGTCCTTCAGTGCCTTAGCATGGTCACCTTAGCATAGACCAGCACCAAGACAGCTTTAAGGCCTTCCAGAGTCCTTCAAGGCCCATTAATATGCTTTCCAATGTCCTTCAATATCTCTTTCTATGATCCATACTCCCATCAGCCCTAGCCAAAGACTGGAATGCCAGTCCCATCAGCCCCAGGCAGGCATGGGTGATGGTGGTTGAGGTCCTTCAATGCCTGGAGGGTCACCTTAGAATGGACCGGCACCAAGACAGCTTTAAGGCCTTCCAAGGTCCTTCAATGCTCCTTAGATACTTTCTAGTGTCCTTCAAGATCTCTTTCTATTTTCTAAGCTTCCATCAGCCCCAGACAGTGGTGGGTTGATATCATGGTCGAACGAATGAGCCTTTGGAGATGCTTGCCAGTGTCCTTCAAGGCCTCTAACATGCTTTCCAACGTCCTTCAATGTCCACCTCCCGTCAGCCGCATGCAGTTATAGTAGTTGCAGTCCTACTTTGTTGGTGGCTGATATCATGGTGGAACAAATGGGCTTTTGGAGATGCTTTCCAATGTCCTTCAAGATCTTTATGATCCATCTCCCATCAGCCCCAGCCAGTGATAGGCATTTGCAGTTATGGTCCTACAGTATCTGGAGGGCCACAGCTGCAAACCTTGACCAATGCGATGGAGAGATTGAGGCATGGTCCAGGCTCCCATCAGTCCCAGACAGTGGTGGGTGATGGTGGTTGCAATCCTTGAATGCCTTAGCATGGGTGATAGTGGTTGCAATCCTTCAATGACTTAGCATGGTCTCCTTATCATGGACTGGCAAGGCCTTCCAAGGTCCTTCAAGGCCACTTAGATGCTTCTCAATGTCCTTCAAGGTCTCTTTCTATGACCCGTACTCCCATCAGCCTTAGCCAAAGACTGGAATGCCACTTCCATCAGCCCCAGGCAGCAGTGGGTGATGGTGGTTGCAGTCCTTCAATGCCTTAGCATGGTCAACTTAGCATGGACTGGCATCTGGACAGCTTTAAGACCTTCCAGTGTCCTTCAAGCCCCCTTAGATGCTTTCCAATGTCCTTCAAGATCTTTTTTATGATTCAAGCCAAAGACCAGACTGTTGCTCCCATTGGCCCAAGCCTTTGGAGATGCTTGCCAATGTCCTTCAAGGCCTCTGAGATGCTTTCTAATGTCCTTCAAGATCTTTATTGATCCATCGCCCATCAGCCCTAGCCAGTGATGGGCATTTGCAGCTGCAGTCCTACCTTACCTTGGTGTTGACCAATGCGATGGAGAGATTGAGTCGTGATCTGAGCTCCTCCCAGCCTTGGCCAACGATGGGCATTTGCAGTTGCCATCCTGAAATACTTGGAGGCCCACCTTGGCCAACTTTGGCTCTCCAAAGTCCTTCCTTAGGTCTCCCCAAGTCCCTTCAAGATCTCTTTCTATGATCCAAGCCAAAGATGGGACTGCTATTCCCATCAGTCCCAGCCAATGATGGGCAGTGTAGTCCTACAGTACTACAATGAATGGGCAACTTTGTCCCTCCTATCCTCTGCTTTTCCTTTTCCTCTCCGTTCCTTTCTTCCACTGTCCCCATTGGGATGCGGAGTCCAAGGCTACGTGGACTACACTGCCCATCATCCCCAGCCCTATCTGCTGACTGACCCCCTCCTTGTGCCTCTTGCAGGGGGTGCCCTTGGACACCAGCAGGCTCCCGGCCGACCAGCGCTTGCCCCCCTACCCCTACGGCCAGGCTTCGGGCCTGCTCCTCCAGCCGGGACACAAGCCCCTCCACCAGGGCATGGCCTCGCAACAACAACAACAACAGCGCCAGCAACAACAACAACAACAACAGCACCAGCAGCACCAGATGGCCCACCACCAGCCCCACATGCAACAACAACAACAACAGCACCACCAGCCGCCACCCTGCAATTACCCCATGCATTACCAGCCCAACTCCATGTTCCAGCACCAGTTCAACCAGCCGCTGGGTGACTTCGGACTGGGAAATGTGAGTCACTAATAATAATAATAATAATAATAATAATAATAATAATAATAATAATGGTAATTGGTCCCTTGCAATGAATGCTTTGGCCAATAATAATAATAATAATAATGGTAATGGTAATGGTAATGGTAAAGGTTATATGGTCCCTTCCAATGAATGCTGTGGCCCATAATAATAAATAATAATAATAATAATAATAATAATAATAATAATAATAATAATAATGGTAATGGTAATGGTAATGGTAAAGGTTATATGGTCCCTTCCAATGAATGCTGTGGTCCATAATAATAATAATAATAATAATAATAATAATAATAATAATAATGGTAATGTGGTCCCTTGCAATGAATGCTTTGGCCAATAATAATAATAATAATAATAATAATAATAATAATAATAATGGTAATGGTTATATGGTCCCTTTCAATGAATGCTGTGGCCCATAATAATAATAATAATAATAATAATAATGGTAATGTGGTCCCTTGCAATGAATGCTTTGGCCCATAATAATAATAATAATAATAATAATAATAATGGTAATATGGTCCCTTCCAATGAATGCTGTGGCCCATAATAATAATAATAATAATAATAATAATATGGTTCTCTGTAATGAATTGTGTGGCCAATAATGATGATAACAATAAGAATAAGAATATGGTCCCCTCCAATGAATGCTGCTGCTGCTAATAATAACAATGAATAATAATAATAATAATAGTAATAATAGTAATGATAATACTATGTTTCCCTCCAATGAATGATGTGGCCTGTAATAATAACAATAACAATAATAATAATAATAATAATAGTAATATGGTCCCTTCCAATGAATGCTTTGGCCCATAATAATAATAATTATAATAATATAATAATAATAATGAGAATAATAATGAGAATAATGATGATAATAATAATAAGGTCCTCTGTAATGAATTGTGTGGCCAATAACAATGATAACAATAAGAATAAGAATATGCCCCCTCCAATGAATGCTGCTGCTAATAATAATGAATAATAATAGTAATAATAGTAATAATAGTAATGATAATAGTATGTTCTCCTCCAATGAATGCTGTGGCCCATAATAATAATAATAATAATAATAATAATAATAATAATAATAATAATAATGTCCTCTGTAATGAATTGTGTGGACAATAATAATAATAACAATAAGAATAAGAATATGGTCCCCTCCAATGCACACTGCTGCTAATAACAACAATGAATAACAATAATAAAAGTAATGGTAATAATAGTAATGATAATAGTATGTTCCCCTCCAATGAATGCTAAGGCCCATAATAATAATAATAATAATAATAATAATAATAATAATAATAATATGGTCCCTTCCAATGAATGCTTTGGCCAATAATAATAATAATAATAATAATAATAATAATAATAATAATAAGATCCTCTGTAATGAATTGTGTGGCCAATAACGATGATAACAATAAGAATAAGAATATGGTCCCCTCCAATGAATGCTGCTGCTAATAATGAATAATAATAATAATAGTAATGATAGTAATGATAGTATGTTCCCCTCCAATGAATGCTATGGCCCATAATAATAATAATAATAATAATAATAATAATAATAATAATAATAGGGTCCTCTGTAATGAATTGTGTGGCTAATGGTAACAATTAATAGTAATAATAATCATATGGTCCCCTGCAATAAATGCTGCAGCTAATAACAATTAATAATAATAGGAATAATAATAATAATAGTGTGGTCCCCTCCAGTGAATACTATGCCAATAATAATAATAATAATAATAATAATAATAATAATAATAATAGTATGGCCCCCTCCAATGAATGCTGCAGCTAACAACAACAACAATAATAATACTATAATAGTGTAGTCCTCTCCTATGAATTCTGTGGTGAATAACAACCATAACAACAATAATAGTATGGTCCCTGCCAATGAATGCTATGGCCAATAATAATAATAATAATAATAATAATAATAATAATAATAATAATAATAATAATAATGTCCCCTCCAATGAATGCTGCGGCCAATAATAACAATTAGTAATAATAATAGTACGATCCCCTCAAATGAATGCTACAGCCATTATGATGTTGATAATAATAATAATAATAATAATAATAATAATATGGTCCCCTCTAACGAATGCTGTGGCCAATAATAACAATTAGTAATAATAATATTTATTTATTTGGGGTTTTTTTACGATCCCCTCCAATGAATGCTACAGCCATGATGATGATGATGATGATGATGATAATAATAATAATAATAATAATAATAGTATGTTCCTGTCCAAATAATACTATGGCCAACAACAACAATATGGTCCCTGTCAGTTTGGCCGACAACAACAACAGTAATAATAATATAGTCCCTGCCAATAATAATAATAATAATAATGCTCCTCTTCCCCCCAGTTTGACCAGTATGGCTTCATGGACAACGTGAGCGGAGGATTCTCCTTCAACAGCAACTTCCCGGACGACTTGGGCGCCTTCAACTGCTTCCCGGGCGACGGCTCAGGCGGGGGCGGCGGGGGCGGAGGGGGCCCCTCCGGGGGCCACGACCCCCACCTGCTCAACCGGCAGAACCTGAGCCACTGCAGCCGCCACGGCCCCATCCCCAACATCATCCTCACCGGTAAGCCAGGGGCCTGCACGCACTGCGGGAATGGAAGAGGGTCGGTCGCATGGGCCTTTTCGGACGCAGCATCTCACTCTGGGCTCGGTTTAGAGAAGGGCCTTAGGGAGGAAGGTTGGGGTGGTGTTAGCCTTTTGTGCTGCTGCATCACACTCCTGGCTCATGTTCAGGCATAGATATTACTCTGGTCAAGCCATGGCTATGTTATTTTCCTCTATTTGGACACCAGACTCCTTTGGATGCGGCCTAGGATCGCATTGGCCTTTTCCGCTGCTGCATCACACTCCTGGCTCATGGTCTGCTTTATATATTATTATGGTCAAGCCATGGCTATATTATTTTCCTCTATTTGGATACTAGAGTCCTATGGATGCGGCCTAGGATTGCATTGGCCTTTTGTGCTGCAGCTTCCCACCTTTGGCTCAGGTTGAGAGGCTTTTCTGGAGAGAGATTGGGATTGCATTGGCCTTTTCCGCTGCTGCATCACACCCTTGGCTCATGTTCAGCCCTGGCTATATTGTTTTCCTCCATTTGGACACTAAACTCCTATGGATGCAGCCTAGGATCGCATTGGCCTTTTCCGCTGCTGCATCACACTCTTGGCTCATGTTTAGGCATATATATTACTATGGTCAAACCATGGCTATATTATTTTCCTCTAGCTGAACACTAAACTCCTTTGGGTGCGGCCTAGCATCGCTTTGGCCTTTTCCGCCGCAGCTTCCCACCTTTGGCTCAGGTTGAGAGGCTCTTCTAGAGGGAGATTGGGATTGCATTGGCCTTTTCTGCTGCTGCATCACACTCTTGGCTCAGGTTCAGTCCTGGCTATATTGTTTTCCTCCATTTGGACACTAAACTCCTACAGATGCCGCCTAGGATGGCGTTGGCCTTTTCCGCTGCTGCATCACACTCCTGGCTCATGGTCAGCCGTATATATTCATATGGTCAAGCCACGACTATATTATTTTCCTCTATTTGGACACTAGACTCCTTTGGAGGCAGCCTAGGATCGCATTGGCCTTTTGTGCTGCAGCTTCCCACCTTTGGCTCAGGTTGAGAGGCTGTTATGGAGGGAGATTGGGATTGCATTGGCCTTTTCCGCTGCTGCATCATACCCTTGGCTCATATATATTCCTATGGTCAACCATGGCTATATTATTTTCCTCTATTTGGTCAAAAACTCCTACAGATGCAGCCTAGGATCGTGTTGGCCTTTTCCGCTGCTGCATCACACTCTTGGCTCATGTTCAGGCATATATATATAACTATGGTCAAGCTATGGCTATATTATTTTCCTCTATTTGGACACTAAACTCCTTTGGATGCAGCCCAGGATTGCATTAGCTTTTTCTGCTGCTGCATCACACTCCTGGCTCATGGTCAGAGATAGATAGATAGATAGATAGATAGATAGATAGATAGATAGATAGATATCCTCAAGCCATGGCTATATTATTTTCCTCTATTTGGGCACTAAACTACTTTGGATGCTCCTAGGATCACATTGGCCTTTTGTGCTGCTGCATCACACTCCTGGCTCATGGTCAGGCATATATATTACTATGGTCAAGCCATGGCTATATAATATTTTCCTCTATTTAGACACTAGACTCCTTTGGATGCAGCCTAGGATCGCACTGGCCTTTTCCGCTGCTGCATCACACTCCTGGCTCATGGTCAGAGATAGATAGATAGATAGATAGATAGATAGATAGATAGATAGATAGATAGATATTGTCAAGCCATGGGTATATTATTTTCCTTTAGCTGGACACTAGACTCCTTGGGATGCAGCCCAGGATTGCATTGGCCTTTTCCGCTGCTGCGTCACAGTGCTGGCTCGTGTTCAGCCATAACTATGACTCTTGTGGTGGGGATGGCCTTGGCCTTTTCCGCTGCAGCCGCTGCCCTTCCCTCCCTTGCAGGGGACTCTCCCCCGGGGATCTCCAAGGAGATTGCCTCGGTCTTGGCCGGGATGCCGGGCTTCGAGATGGCGACGGCGGCGGCCTCCTCGTCCTCGTCGTCGTGCTCCCCCCTGGCGCTGGAGGAAGACCTGCGCATCGAGCCGCTGACGATGGACGCCTTCAACATGCTGAGCGACCCCTTTGCCCCGCTGACCGACACGGCCGTGGAGGACTCCTTCCGCACCGACCGCCTCCAGTGAGAGAGAGAGCGGGAGACTCCCCCTCCCCTCCCCGGAGACCCCTTCGCGAGCCGAGGAAGCAAACAAAGCCACATCGCGTTGGCGCTGCTTTGGTGCTGCGCCCGCCGCCGCGCCAGGCTCCTTTGGGGGGCTCAGGGGGGCTCCGGACCCAAAAGATACAGGTGCAACCCCCCCCCCTTGCCATTTGGGCCCCTTTCTGTATTTCTGGCGAAATACAGCCTCTCTAGGCCTTTCCCAGGTCCTCCCAATACAACTCTATGGCATCTTTGGGATGTTTATCAACTCCTAGGGAAATACAGCCCCTCTAGGCTTTTCCCAGGTCCTCCCAACACAACTCTATGGCATCTTTGGGATGTTTATCAACTCCTAGGGAAATACAGCCCCTCTAGGCTTTTCCCAGGTCCTCCCGACACATCTCTGTGGCATCTTTGGGATGTTTATCAACTCCTAGGGAAATACAGCCCCTCTAGGCTTTTCCCAGGTCCTCCCAACACAACTCTATGGCATCTTTGGGATGTTTATTAACTCCTAGGGAAATACAGCCTCTCTAGTCTTTTCCCAGGTCCTCCCAACACAACTCTATGGCATCTTTGAGATGTTTATCAACTCTTAGGGAAATACAGCCTCTCTAGGCTTTTCCCAGGTCCTCCCAACACAACTCTATGGTATCTTTGGACTGTTTATGTCATATTGTCAAAATAATATCCTTTTTTAATGACCCTCTTTTGCTAGCAAAGGGCCTCTAGCATTTTGGGGAAGGAGGGATGGAGGGGGATGCAAAAAAAAAATGTCTCCTTTCCGGGGGTCTCCTCGTCATTCTTCTATATATAAATATATATAAATATATATATTTTTAAGCAGCCCCGCTCTGTACATAATTATCCGCCCCTCCCTGGGTCACCCACCCCCCCCCCTCTCTCTCTCTCTCTCTCTCCCCCTTGTAAAGCACTTGTAACTTTTGCCTCGTCGTCCAGAGGTCAGTCCAGTGGGAGGGGCCAAGGGCCAATGGGGCGGGGTCAGCCAGGGTCCGGGTCCTCCCTCTCCCCTCCCGCGACAGAGATTTTTTTTGTTTTTTTAAAAAAGAGTGATTTTATTATTTTTTAAATATATGTTAATTATAACGACGTCTCGTCCCTTTCTTCTTTGGGTCGTTTTATTCCCGCCTGCTGAAATACGGCCTCTCTAGGCCTTTCTCAGGTCCTCCTACAGAACTCTATGGTATTGTTGGGCTGTTTATCGACTTCTGGGGAAATACAGTCTCTCTAGGCGTTTCCCAGGTCCTCTAACAGAACTCTATGGTATCATTGGGCTGTTTATCAACTTCTGGGGAAAATACAGCGTCTCTAGGCCTTTCCCAGGTCCTTCCAACACAACTCTATGGTATCTTTGGGCTGTTTATTGACTCCTGGTAAAATACAACCTCTTTAGGCCTTTCCTAGGGCCTCTGACAGAGCTCTATGGTATTTTCGGGCTGTTTATCAACTCCTGGGGAAATACAGCCTCTCTGGGACATTTCCAGGTCTTCTGATAGAACTCTATGGTAACTTTGGGCTGTTTATTGAATTCTGGGGAAATACAGCCTGTCTAGGCTTTTCCCAGGTCCTCCAACAGAAGTCTATGGTATCTTTGGGGTACTTATCAACTTCTGAGGAAATACAGCCTCTCTAGGCCTTTTGCAAGTCCTCTGACAGAACTCTATGGTATCTTTGGGCAGTTTATCAACCTCTGGGGAAATAAAAACTCTAGGTGTTTTCTAGGTCTTCTGACAGAACTCTATGGCATATTTGGGGTATTTATCAACTGGGGGAAATACAGCCTCTCTAGACCTTTCCCAGGTCCTCCCAACACAACTCTATGGCATATTTGAACTGCTTATTGACTCCTGGTAAAACGCAACCTCTCTAGGCCTTTCCCAGGTCCTCCTAACACAACCCTATGGCATATTTGGACTGTTTATTGACTCCTGGTAAAATACAACCTCTCTAGGCCTTTCCTAGGTCCTCTGACAGAGCTCTATGGTATTTTCGGGCTGTTTATCAACTCCTGGGGAAATACAGCCTCTCTAGGACATTTCCAGGTCTTCTGATAGAACTCTGTATTTCCCCAGAAGTCGATAAACAGCCCAACGATACCATAGAGTTCTGTTAGAGGACTTGCAAAAGGCCTAGAGAGGCTGTATTTCCCCAGAAGTCAATAAACAGCCCAAAAATATTTCCCTGGCTCTTCCAACATAACTCTATGGTATCTTTGGGCTGTTTATTGACTCCTGGTGAAATACAGCCTCTTCAGGCCTTTCCTAGGTCCTCCAACAAAACTTTATGGTATCGCTGGGCTGTTTATTGACTTCTGTGGAAATACAGCCTCTCTAGGCCTTTCCCAGGTCCTCCAAGAGAACTTGATGGTATCATTGGGTTGTTTATCGACTTGTGGAAATACAGCCTCTCTGGGTGTTTTCTAGGTCCTCTGACAGAACTCTATGGTATCTTTGGGGTATTTATCATCTTCTGGGGAAATACATCCTCTCTAGGCCTTTCCCAGGTCCTCCAATAGAACTCTATGGTATGTTTGGGGTATTTGTTGTCTTCTGGGGAAATACAGCCTCTCTAGGCCTCTCCCAGGTCCTCCAATAGAACTCTATGGTATGTTTGGGGTATTTGTTGTCTTCTGGGGAAATACAGCCTCTCTAGGCCTCTCCCAGGTCCTCCAATAGAACTCTATGGTATGTTTGGGGTATTTGTTGTCTTCTGGGGAAATACAGCCTCTCTAGGCCTCTCCCAGGTCCCCTCTAGGCATTGTGTGGGTCCTCCAGCATGACTCTGTGGTGACTCTTGTGCTGGAAGCTCTGGGGAAAAGGGAATGGTGGGAGTTGGAAGTCCAAAACACCTGGAGCGTGCCCGATATAGGATTGGAGGGAGGGAGATATAGATAGGATGATACACGTGTGTGTGTGTTTTGTGTGTGTGTGTTTCATCAGCTTAGTTTGGGCATTGGAGTTGAATTCCTGCACCGTTCTCTCTCCATTCATAAGGAAGACAGGAAAGGGAAGGAAGGAGAGGAAAAAGAAAAGAGGGAGAGAGAAGGGGGAAGGAGAGAAGGAGAAAAGGCAGGGAGGAAGGAGAAAGGGAAGAAGGTGAGAAGGGAGGAAAGAAAGGGAGGAGAAAAGGAAGAAAGGGAGGAAGGAGAAAGCAGAAAAGGAAAGAAGGAAAAAAAAGGAGAGGTGGAGAGAAGGAAGGAGAAAGAGAAGGTGTGAAGAGGACAGGGAGGGAAGAAGGGAGGAAAGAGAAAGGGAAGGAGAGAAGGAAGGAAGGGAAAAGGGAGGAGAGATGGAGAGAAGGAAGGAGAAAGTGTGAAGAGGACAGGGAGGGAAGAAGGGAGGAAAGAGAAAGGGAAGGAGAGAAGGAAGGAAGGGAGGAAAAAGGAAGGAGAGAATGGACAGAAAGAAGGAAGAAAGGCAGGGACAAAGGAGAAAGGGAAGAAGGTGAGAAGGGAGGGAAGAAAGAAAGAAGAAAGGGGGAAAGAAGAAAGCAGAAAAGGAAAGAAGGAAAAGAGGAGGAGAGATGGAGAGAAGGAAGGAGACAGAGAAGGTGGGGACAGAGGGAGGAAGGGAGGGAAGAGAGAAGGAAGAGAGGGAAGGAGAGAGGGAAGAAAGAAGGGCGGAAGGAAAAAGGAAGGAAGGGAAAAGGGCGGAGAGATGGAGAGAAGGAAAGAGAAAGAGAAGGTGTGAAGAGGACAGGGAGGGAAGAAGAGAGGAAAGAGAAAGGGAAGGGGAAAAGGGAGGGAGGGAGGAAAGAGAAGGGTGGAAAGAAAAAGGAGGAATGAAAAGGGAGGGAAAAGGGAGGAGAGATAGAGAGAAGGAAGGAGAAAGTGTGAAGAGGACAGGGAGGGAAGAAGGGAGGAAAGAGAAAGGGAAGGAGAGAAGGAAGGGAGGAAAGAGAAGGGGGAAGGGAAAAGGAGGAATGAGAAAAGGAAGGAAGGGAAAAAGGGAGGAGAGATGGAGAGAAGGAAAGAGAAAGTGTGAAGAGGACAGGGAGGGAAGAAGGGAGGAAAGAGAAAGGGAAGGAGAGAAGGAAGGGAGGGAGGACAGAAAGAAGGATGGAAGGGAAAAGGAGGAATGAGAAAAGGAAGGAAGGGAAAAAGGGAGGAGAGATGGAGAGAAGGAAAGAGAAAGTGTGAAGAGGACAGGGAAGGAAGAAGGAAGGAAAGAGAAAGGGAAGGAGAGAAGGAAGGAAGGGAAAAGGAGGAGAGATGGAGAGAAGGAAGGAGAAAGAGAAAGTGTGAAGAGGACAGGGAGGGAAGAAGGGAGGAAAGAGAAAGGGAAGGAGAGAAGGAAGGAAGGGAAAAGGGAGGAGAGATGGAGAGAAGGAAAGAGAAAGTGTGAAGAGGACAGGGAGGGAAGAAGGGAGGAAAGAGAAAGGGAAGGAGAGAAGGAAGGAAGGGAAAAAGGGAGGAGAGATGGAGAGAAGGAAAGAGAAAGTGTGAAGAGGACAGGGAGGGAAGAAGGGAGGAAAGAGAAAGGGAAGGAGAGAAGGAAGGAAGGGAAAAAGGGAGGAGAGATGGAGAGAAGGAAAGAGAAAGTGTGAAGAGGACAGGGAGGGAAGAAGGGAGGAAAGAGAAAGGGAAGGAGAGAAGGAAGGAAGGGAAAAGGGAGGAGAGATGGAGAGAAGGAAAGAGAAAGTGTGAAGAGGACAGGGAGGGAAGAAGGGAGGAAAGAGAAAGGGAAGGAGAGAAGGAAGGAAGGGAAAAAGGGAGGAGAGATGGAGAGAAGGAAAGAGAAAGTGTGAAGAGGACAGGGAGGGAAGAAGGGAGGAAAGAGAAAGGGAAGGAGAGAAGGAAGGGAGGGAAAAAGAAGGAGGAGGAAAAGGAGATGGAGAGAAGGAAGAAAGGAAAGGAGGAAGGAAGGGAGGAAGAGGGAAGGGGAAGGAAGGAAAAAGGAAAGGAGGGAAGGGAAGGAGAGAAGGAAGAAAGGGAAGAAGGAAGGACGGAGAGGGAGAAAAGAAACGGAGGAAGGAGAAAAAGAAGGAGAGATGGAGAAAGGGAAGAAGGAGAAGAAGGAAGGAAGGGATTGACAATCCCTTTGCAATACTTCCACAATATGGTGCTATAAATATATATATATGTGTGTGTGTGTGTGTGTATGTATATATATATAAAATAATATATAGAATATAATAAAGTATCATATACTCTATGCTTGGTTGTGTTTACAAACGTAAAGAAGGAAGACCCAAGGCCGGCCACCATTGACTCTTGGCAAGGCTTTTATTGACAGCTCACACCTGGGGGTGGGTGGGCGGGGCCTCCCCGTCCTTGTGGCTCCGCCCCTAAGAGGAGCCGGTCAGCACCTCGTTGTAGCACATGGCCATGGCCCCCATGAAGGTCATGAACTCCGAGAAGCAGATGCAGTCGTCCTTGTTGCGGTCCAAGTCGGACATCAGGCCCTGGATCTCCGCCTCCTTCAGCTTCTGCACACACACAACAACGACAACACCACAACACTTGTGAGAGCAAGAAGCCATGCACCAATATATACAATAATATATATATAAGATATAATAAAAAATATAAAATACAATAATATAATATATGCAAGCATATAAATGATAATATATAATATTTATATCATATATATGATATACAAATATATAAATAATATATAGAATATAATAAAGTATCATATAATATATGCAAGTATATAAATAATAATATATAAAATATAATAAAATGCAATGTAATATATGCAAGTATATAAATAATAATATAATATATATAATATATACAAATATATAAATAATATATAGAATATAATCAAGTATAATATATGCAAATACATAAATAATATACAAAATATAATAAAATGCAATATTATATATGCAAGTATATAAATAATAATATAATATATATAATATATACAAATATATAAATAATATATAGAATATGATAAAGTATAATATATGCAAATACATAAATAATATATAAAATATAATAAAATGCTACATAATATATGCAAGTATATAAATTATAATATAATATATATAATATATCCAAATATATAAATAATATATAGAATATGATAAAGTATAATATATGCAAATACATAAATAATATATAAAATATAATAAAATGCAATATAATATGTATGCAAGTATATAAATGATAATATATAAAATATATAATATTTATATAGAATATATATCTAACATAAACAAATATATAAATAATATATAGAATATAATAAAGTATAATATATGCAAATACATACATAGTATATGAAATATAATAAAATGCAATATTATATATGCAAGTATATAAATAATAATATAAAAAATATATAATATTTATATAGAATATATATCTAACATAAACAAATATATAAATAATATATAGAATATAATAAAGTATAATATATGCAAATACATAATATATAAAATATAATAAAATACAATGTATGCAAGTATATAAATAATATATAAAATATATTATATATATTATATATATATAAAATATATGCAAATATATAAATTATAATATATAATATATATATAATATATGCAAATACATAAATAATATATAAAATATAATAAACTACAATAACATATAAGCAAATATAGAAATATAATAAAATATAATATATGCAAATATATAAATAACAACATATATAATATTTATATATAATATATGCAAATATATAAAATATAATAAATATATATGAGCTAAATAATTTTAGCAATATATATAAATGAGCTGAGTAGTTTTTGCAATATATATATATATATATATATATATATATATATAATATTTTCATGTGTGTGTACATCTGTGTGTGTATATATATATATATATATAGTATTAAATATATATAATATATGCAAATATATAAATAAAAATATATTATATATATATATATAATATTATGTTTTCATGTGTGTGTACATATGTCTGTGTGTGTGTGTATATATATATATAGTATTAAATATATATAATATATGCAAATATATAAATAAAAATATATTATATAAATATATATATAATATTATATTTTCATGTGTGTGTACATCTGTGTGTGTATATATATATATATATAGTATTAAATATATATAATATATGCAAATATATAAATAAAAATATATTATATAAATATATATATAATATTATATTTTCATGTGTGTGTACATCTGTGTGTGTATATATATATATATATATAGTATTAAATATATATAATATATGCAAATATATAAATAAAAATATATTATATATATATATAATATTATGTTTTCATGTGTGTGTACATATGTCTGTGTGTGTGTGTGTATATGTGTATATATATATATATATATATATATAATATTATATTTTCATGTGTGTGTACATATGTCTGTGTGTGTGTGTATATATATATAGTACTAAATATATATAATATATGCATATATATAAATAAAAATATATTATATAAATATATATATAATATTATATTTTCATGTGTGTGTACATCTGTGTGTGTATATATATATATATATAGTATTAAATATATATAATATATGCAAATATATAAATAAAAATATATTATATATATATATAATATTATGTTTTCATGTGTGTGTACATATGTCTGTGTGTGTGTGTGTATATGTGTATATATATATATATATATATATATATATATATATATAATATTATATTTTCATGTGTGTGTACATATGTCTGTGTGTGTGTGTATATATATATAGTACTAAATATATATAATATATGCATATATATAAATAAAAATATATTATATAAATATATATATAATATTATATTTTCATGTGTGTGTACATCTGTGTGTGTATATATATATATATATAGTATTAAATATATATAATATATGCAAATATATAAATAAAAATATATTATATATATATATAATATTATGTTTTCATGTGTGTGTACATATGTCTGTGTGTGTGTGTGTATATGTGTATATATATATATATATAATATTATATTTTCATGTGTGTGTACATATGTCTGTGTGTGTGTGTATATATATATATAGTATTAAATATATATAATATATGCATATATATATATATATATATATATATATATATGCACATATAAAAATAATAATATATAGAATAATATTATAATATATGCATATATTTATGATATAAGATACGATGCTGGTGCCTAACGAAGTGCGGGGACCCACCTCTCCGATGGTCAGCTCGTTCAGGATGAGTTCCTTGAGCTCCTTCTTGCTCAGCGTGTTCTTGTCGCCTTCTTTGCAGGAATATTTGTGGAAAATGGCCACCATGTTGCAAAGGGTGATGTCCAGGTCCTTGGGCATGGCGGTCAGGTCTGAGCAGGGAAAGGGGGCAAGAAGAAGGAGCCATCAGGGAAGGAAGGAAGGAAGGGAAAACAGCTGGATTATTCCTCCTTTTCCGTTCCCTCTTTTGCAGCAACGGAACGTAGCTGCGGACGAAGGAGGAGAAAGGAAACCGGGACGCTTTAAAACGACAGCGTTGTCCTTTTTTTCTGCCGTTTTGTAGCGAAAGCAATGCAAATTTAAATTTTTTCAATATATATATATATGTGTGTGTGTGTGTGTAGGAATAGTTTTAGTAATATATATATATATATATCTGTGTGCATAATATATATGTGTGTGTGAGCTGAGTAAGTGTTGCAATACATATATGTATTATATATTTAATATATTTTTCTTGCGTATATATATATATATATATTAAATAATTTTATTATATATATATATATATATGCTAATAATATATTATATATTTATTATATATTATATAATATTATATTATATATATATATATGCTAATAATATATTATATATTTATTATATATTATATAATATAATATTATATATATATATGCTAATAATATATTATATATTTATTATATATTATATAATATAATATTATTATATAATATGCTAATAATATATTATATATTTATTATATATTATATAATATAATATTATATATATATGCTAATAATAT